CTTTGCTCTCCGTGAGAGGAGTAAACGAGGAGAGTGAAGTGCCATTGACCTGGGAGGACAAAGGAACAGATGTAACAGGACTGCTACATGTTAGTCTTGGTGTTTCCTGAGGGGGAAAATGGCGCAGAAGGGGGGTTATTCTAACTTTGGACAGGTTTGTGCGGCGGTGTTCATGAGAGAGAAAGAGGGAGCGAGTGAGAGGAGGTGCTGCATGAATATATGCTCCTCAATACAAGCTCCTCCATCAAAAATGATTTTAAATACACCTAGTAAAAAAATGTGGTGGTCAGCGTTGATAATTATCCAAATTATAGGCTAATTATGGGAAACTCTGCTTTCACTACGACCCCCTTCACCCCAAACAAAGCATCTCTCCGACTGTGTAACTAGCCTAATATTTTATTCATAACAGCAGCAAGGAGTCTATTTTTTGTTATGGCAGAAAATTGTGTTTTCCACAACAGTTTTTACAGAGCATATAGCCGAGGCCTAACGTTTCTTAACACCACCGGCTGAAATAAAAAAAATAAAGCAAGTAAATCCCGACTTTTAAACAGCTGTTTTTCTGCACATGTAGCCTGTTTATAAGAGCAGTTACAAAACGTTACATTAACGCCACTCTCTCCCGACGAGTCCAAGCATCAGTGACAGTAGCTGGCGGAGTTTCTTTCTGTAAGTTTCACGTTGCTGTGCTGCTTCAGCAGATGCTGAAAAGAAGTTTACAACAGACGACAATGTTCTCTGCATCTTAGACTGTGACACAATAATGGCAGTAGCTCCTTGCAGCTGTGGAAAGAATGCCTCTCTTTTCCTTTTCTGGAGGACCCTTCCCATATTCTGCACTCTGAATACGATGTTTTACCTTCAGGGAAACGCCTTAGAGCTAGCAGATGTAAAAGTAACCGCTATAAGCTGTCCTTCATCCCAACTTGCATAGCGCTCCTAAATAAACAATCTGCTCGGAACAAGATGGCTTGAAGCACTTCCGGCACTTTATTTATTTATTTATTTTTAAGCATAGTTTAATATTGTTTGATCGCTTGCACTAATGTTTTTATCAACCGGATCTTATATGAGTTTGTCTTTTTAATATAGAATTGGGGCGGTTGTACTTTTAGCGTCTGTCATACTGTTTTCTGCTTTATGTGCTCAAATGCAATTGAATATAATAATTCTGAGGTTTCATATCACTCAGGTTCTACTTACCTTGTAATCAATGATTGACAGGGGCAGGGTCATAGATACTCAGTGGTGGATTGTATGATGTATGTGAGTGTAAAGTCCATCATATGTGTTACTGGTGTTTACTGCAGCCTCATGATGCCCAAGACAAATTTCCCTCAGGGGACAATAAAGTAGATCTTATCTCTCTCCCTCGTTCTCCTTTCTTCCTTTAGTTTTTGGCAGCTGACATGAAAAACAAAGTCTGGTGCTGCTGACCTGCCACACAGTCGTGGATTCACGTCAAGGATAGTGCGTTCAGTAACGAGTACGGCAGCGATACTTGCATTAGTAACTGTAATGATATTACTGTTTTAGAAAAGTAATTAGTTACACTAGCCTACTAGTTACTGGGAAAAGTAACATTATTACAGCCCAACACTGGCCACGGGTGGGACTGGTTCTGGCGAGCAGGTTTGGTGGATAGAGGACACAGGCTATCCAGGCATGAGCTCAGTGTAGAGCACAGAGATTGTGCGGCATCATTGACCTCGGTGAGGAAAATGTGTTGAGGGGAGGTAGAGCGGAGGCTACCGCTGAGGCAAAGTGAGTGGGAGACAGGTTGTGGCGGTGTGAGACATAAGGTGCTGGAACAATGGGCTGTTCCTGTAGGCGTACTGTGAACTGGATGAAATAGTGGTCAGACATGTGTAGAGGTGTGACTGTAAGGCATTCGGTGGCACAGTTTCAGACAAGAACGAGGTCCAGCACCTTGCCAGCTTTGTGCGAACCCGTGTTAGATCAAAGGACTGAATCAGAGACAGGAAGCCTGCTGAGTTTGATTTGTCTAAGTGAATGTTCATGTCAACGAGGACAAGTAACGAACAGTCATGTTCTGGGACTGAAGACAGCAGCGTGTCCAGCTCGTCCACAAAGTTACGCACTTGTCCTGGTGGACGGTCACAATCACAGACCTTTACCGGAACGGACAGCAAGTCAGCATGATATTCAAAGGAGGCAAACTGATTTGGGGGAAGCAGCTGTGTGAATTTTCCATTTGGAACGAGCATTTAACTCTAGTAACAGTCTCCTCTTTATTATATCTGATAACAATATAAACTGCAAATAAAGAAATGTTCACCACTTTAGTCTACATTGTGTTTGTGATTCCTTCATGTACTAACAGTGTCATAATGGAAAGTGAATATTCTTTACTATGAAAGTTCTGCCTCTACTAGTAGAACCACCTCCCTCCTCTTGTCCCCTTCTAGTAGTAAACCTTCCCTCTGGAGGACCTCTAACCTTCCAGTGTCATGTTACGTCAGGCAGGGAGCAGATAAAGCAAGGATTCAGACAGAGTGAGAATTATACAGTGACAACGGGGGGTTAACTTTTTTTCCAGGTCGTAAAGGAAACAGCAGGTGTTTGCCTCAGTGAACTGAGCTCTTATCCTGCATTCAGACCAAACATATTTAAAAAAGCAAATTTAATCTTTTCAACGCTTTAACGCGAATAAACACAACTCACCATTACTACAGCTGTATGAAACCAAAGTAAACATTTTGTTGGGATTTAATTGCAATAAACTAAACTAAATAAATCAAACTGTTTGATTTGTTAAACATATGAATTCATGCTTTGTCAGGTCTGTCAGCAAGTCAGCAGGACAACAACTTCTAAAAGGTTTGTTTTCTGAATGGAGTTTGGATCGATCAGGGCTATGCTACGCTAACTTGTTCACAGTAAAGTACAACGATAGCTGGAATAAAGTTACAGACACATATTTTCTGAACTCACCAGGTAGTTCAACTTCCTCGCTTTCTTTTCTCCAAGCAATGTTCAGTTTTGTCCGTCTTTTATATTTACAGGTGAAACTTGAAAAATTTGCATATCGTGCAAAGTTCATTTATTTCAGTAATACAACTTAAAAGGTGAAACTAATATATTATATAGACTCATTTCATGCAAAGTGAGATATTTCAAGCCTTTATTTGATATAATTTTTATGATTATTATTAAAAAAAGAACTGGTCTGTTTCTCAGTGGTCCAAAGTGCATCTCATTTGGAACCAAGGTCCCAGAGTCTGGAGGAAGGATGGAGAGGGACACAATCCAAACAATGCAGAAGAGCTGAAGGCCGCTATTGAAGCATCCTGGTCTTCCATAACACCTCAGCAGTGCCACAGGCTGATAGCATCCATGCCACGCCGCACTGAGGCATTAATTCATGCAAAAGAGGTCCAAACCAAGTACTGAGTACATATGCATGATTATACTTTTCAGAGGGCTGACATTTCTGTATTTAAAATTCTTTTTTTTATTGATTTCATGTAATATTCAAATTTTCTGAGATTTTGAATTTGGGGTTTTCATAAGCTGTACGCAATAATCATCGAAATGATATCAAATAAAGGCTTGAAATATCTCACTTTGCATGTAATGAGTCTATATAATATTAGTTTCACCTTTTAAGTTGAATTACTGAAATAAATTAACTTTTGCACGATATGCTAATTTTTCAGTTTCACCTTATATATGAAGCATTAGTCCAACAGAGCTCTGGGTGCCGACCGACGCTAACAACAACAGTGGACCGGATGTGCATGGAAGCTAGCTGCTGAGAAGCTCGAGTGAAGATAAATCAACGTTGTCATCCGCAAAACTAAAGTGAAAAGCTAATTTAAGAAAAGCAGTTTACTCCGAGCTCCTCCCACGGGTAAACGGCGTAGTTGTCAGAGTGTAATCCAAACGGGTTTATTTGTCCAAAAGCTGCAGCGCTGCTCTCTGCTCTGTCCTCAACTTCTCCAAGTGCAGCAGCTCTCCGCCGGCCAGCGGCATTTCAATCCCCCGCTCTGCCCGGCCCTCTCCACACAACGCTCTGAAGCCATCGGTGATGTCAGGATGATCCCAACGCTGAACGCTGCGACTTTCTTGCTCGAGTTGAACATTTTCAGCTCATGCCTTCGCAGCGCTATGTGTCTTTGCATTGACTTTGTATGTAAACGCAGCGCCCACAACGCTCACTTTGCTTTTGGTCTGTAAGCACCTTTACAAAGTTACAATCTCCTTGTTTCTTTAACGTAATGTCTGCAGTCTGTAGATGAGGATGAATCAAGTTCACCAGTTCATGGGTGCCACAAACAGGAGTCACCAAGTATTGTAGAAAGTCAGACCCACACAATGCTGAACCAGAACCAAAGACACTATCATAAAATACAGTCTGCATTATTCTCTAATTCAGAATTCTTATCATTTCAAGTTTTAACTTTCAACTTACTCTTTTCTTAGCAAACATCTCATTTCCTCTAGCTCATGTTAACTGTGAATGAAATGTAATCTGCGTTCAATAAAGTAGTAGTCATACATGTGAAACAACAAACCTGGATTTGAACATTTTTCAGTTACCTAGCCAGGTAAAACTCCCAAATTCCAGAGTGAAAACAAATGGCGTGCTTATTGTAAAACACAGGCGAGCCAACACTAGACAAAAAGGAATACACACACTTAAATACCCAAGAGAGGTGGAGGAAACGAGACACAGGTGGAAACAAAAATCAACTCAAGGACAGGAAGTGAACTGACAAAGACCCACGAGGAAGGATTTAACAAAAGAAAACAGGAAATCACCAAACTCACAACCAAAACCAGGACATCCAGGGGTTAAAGTAGTTTTCATCAGAATTTGATAAACGCCTGTTTGTCTCATGTCCACATTCTCACCAAAACACTTCCTATTCAGCTCAGTCAGGAGAGACTTAAATGAAAAAGAGGCTTAAAGAGGAATTAAAAGGAAAAGGAACAGGAGAGTTTAAGAAATGTGAGAGGGATGTATGGCCTACCTGGTGGAGGGGCTGTGACCACAGAGGCCAGAACCAGAATGGATGTGAAGGGCTCAGTGGGATCACTGAAGACTGCTTGATCCACCAGCTGCTGGAGCGAGAGAGGGAGGGAGGCCTGGAGCTGGAGTGATGCTGCAGTCTTTTATCTGGTCGGGGTCCTCCAGGAGAGAAAAGACAGTTTGAAAGTTTGACAGCAACAATATGATTGGCTCACAGAGGTTGTGGCAAATTCTGATTGGTTTAACTGAAAGAATGAACGCCCTCAATCTAATGACGGAGTTGGAAGCAGAAAAAAGGAAGAGAGGGGGCGGGGAGAAATAGAGTCAGCATGAACGATGTCTTCCTGATTCAACTTCTGCTGAGTTTCCTTAATCTTAAAAAAAGAGCTGCAAAGATAAAATGAGGAACCAGCAGATCTCAGAGCAGTAAAATATCATCTTATCTGTGTTCTTCAGCAGCTGCTACAGTATCACCATATTGCACCATGGACATCAGGAGTCAGATTCTGGTGGGAGAGGAGTTTGACTCTTCACCTGTCTGTTCATGTGTGCTGTCAAACATCACCATGGATCCTGTCTGTTTTCTAATAAACACTATCTGAAGAAAACAAGTTGCATCATTGCAAACATTTTCGCTTGGTGAAACACGTCATTGTCACAAATAGACCTGAATGAACAAAGTGTGAACTCTGATGGCTGCATCTCATGTTGCTGATCAAGAATTTGGGGTCTCTGTCAGTCACTGTGGATGAGAGAAAACTACATTTCAAAATGTAAAAGTGAAAACTGTACATAGTTTTTGGCTGTTTGGACATCGACAAGAAATTCAGAGAGACTGAAATCTAAAACAGACTAAAAGTCACTATGAGGAAGTGACATCATCCTAACCACAGGAAGTAGCTGCTGCGTCTCTCTACTAAAGCACTAGTTTAGAAACTCAGACAGTTCTGAGCACGAGAACAAGAGACAGAAGAAGGAGAGACTCAGAGAATCATGATGGTTGAGTTCAAATGGATTTCTTTATTTCTTACAGCGGTGCTTCAGTTTACAGGTAAGAATACATATATCACATATATAAATGGAAGGCACATTGTAAAAAATAACTTGATCAATATTATTAAAGATTCTTTATTAGCTACATTTGATTTAACTAAGAAAACCAAATCTGTTGTTTCTAATGTGGTGAGTTTAGTGAACTCTTGGAAACTAAGGATAAAGAAATAATCGTCACTAACTATGAACATAACAGACATTTTCTCATTTCACTTTATTTTTCATCATTTTCTCAACAGCAGCAGCTGAAAAACTTCCCCTCTCCTTCACTGTCAGAGTTGGAGATGACGTCACTTTGCCTTGTGAAAATGTGATAGACGGTCAGAAAACTGTGAATATACTACATGGACCTTCAGTGGTTCAGGGGCAGATCAGCAGTAGCGCTGTTTGAACTTGGGCAGATCACAAAGACGCCAAATCTAAATCAGACAGACTGAGTGTTACAGAGAACTGTTCTCTGGTTATAAAGAAGGTCACAGTCGAGGATGTTGGTCGTTACACTCAACAGTTCAAATCAGGACAAAACAAGCTCCAGACTCTCAGGTTTATCTGTCTGTTATTACCAGTGAGTATTTCCATCATAATGTTTTCAGCTCAAACTGTCTTGTTAGAACAATATACTGAAACATTACAATAATTATGATCACAGTGATGAAGTTAACTTTACTCTTGTTGTCTTTCTCTCACAATATCTCCATCTTCACCAGTGACTGAACGTAAGGACGCTGATGAGGTGACATTATACTGCTCTGTGTTGATATGAACAGTTCTGTAGTCACACAGTGAAGTGGCTGTATGAGGGTAAAGATGTGGACAAAGATAACAAAGACATGAAGACATCACAGTCTGTCTGCTACGCCGCTGTGTCTTTCCGGATTCTCATTTTAGTTACAAATCAAAGTCTAACTTGAAGTGTGAAGTGACAGATGGTTACTCTGGAAAAGTGCAGCTGTTCACCTTCAGCCCTCAGTCCTCAGGTGAGAAAACAGGTGAGAATATGCTGAGCTGGTGTGCGTTTCCCGAACAACCACGTAAGGTAACGTTGAACTATGTTGGTACGATGCATCGTTACACAAACAAACATCTGAAATACGACCGTTTCCCTAAACTGTCATACTTTGAACTAATTAGTTTGAGCCAACGTAGGTCGAACTAACATGTTTCCAGGTGTGTTCGTCTGACTTTCACAGCACGAAACTCACAAAACGTCATATTCTGCCTAAATATGTCAGTTGTGACCGATATTAAGTGACATTATTTTACTAACTTATTATTTAGGCTTTTTATATTATTGTCGTACCGGCAATAACAAGAAAATCAACAATAGTCTTAATGAAATCAACAATATAAATAATATATAACCTAATCATTTTATTTAGCCTAAATATCTGCTATAACTTAGAAGAAAAATGAAGAATTATTAGCGATTACAAGACATTTAGTGAAATAGGTTTAGTATCTTTGTGTCAACACTGTAACACTATTATGAATCCCTTGGCATCTGACATCTAGGTTTTGAGAACAGCTCAGTGCGCTAAGTGTCTGAGCTTACGCATGTTCTCTATTGAGACAGATACGACTCCCGTGAGTTCTCTATTTATCTTTGTTATAAAGGCAACGAAAACTCTCAGGGATTTATTCATTACAGTACTTTCATGGATTTTATGCTGTCCCTTTTTATGTTTGTAATGAAGACTAGAGAACACCCATCTTCCCCAGAGGCCCAGAAACGTATACATGTAGGTAATATTAAAAGTCTTGTCTTTACATTCTCCGTTTTGTCCTTTAACCTTTGTACTGGGTGACTAATATTAAATTAAGTTATTGTGAGCAGACGGGTAATCTGTGAGAAAAACACCTGCTGTTTGTAGATGGTCTACACTGAGATACTTAGTAGCCTACTGAATCAATGCAACCCTACCCATGACCCCACAAATACATTTAAAAGTACTTTTACAACTACATTTTTTTTAAAATTCACCCTAAACATGTTTGCACAGCAGGATTATCTAACATTCCCTGCTTAAAACACATCACATCCACCTCCTAACACTGCATTTTCTGCTCTCTGTGACGTAGTCACCGTGAACTAAGCTTCTAACCACAGGTCAGGAGCTGTAGTTCCAACTATGCAACTTAACAACAGTTGGTGCGAACGTTCGTCTGAA